CACCTACAAGGTCCACTTGTGCTCCTTTCCTTTAGAGCTCTGAACATGGCTAAAGGTGTCCCTTGCACAAGCAATGCTATTTCATTTGCTGTCCAGCTACCTCAAGTTTAAAAATGCTGAAGCAGAGGACAGTTAATATTGCCTGATGCAGGAGTGGTTATTTTTCAGCGAGGCTGAGATAATTTGGCAACATTTGGATAATCATGTTTTTTGAATAGATAAGAGCACATGAGTTTCCACAGAAGAAAAACCTATACCCATCCATCCAGCAAAGGAGGAATTAAACATTACACTGCATCTATTGCCACTCAAGAATGCCTATATCTAGTAATTTGCAGAATTCACATCAAAGAGAGATATGGTGAATATGCAGCCACTCAGTTATGAAAGGGTGTCATGAATCTTCTTGGAGACCTCCTAGAGGGAAGTAAAAGTAAAGTGGTCTAAGAGAAACAAGTAGCCATTATAGAATAAAGGCCACAAAAATTCTGGTCCCACAGAGATGATCAAATACAACTTGTCTGGCAGACAACACTGAGCTGTATATTGTATTATGCTATCCTTATGGAAAAAATCTCTTAGTGCATTATGTACTGCTCCTGTAATTGGGAGATATGGGAACAGATCTAAGTGATGGTTTGATTAAATGGAGTGGGATACGAGGTCTGATCACTGATATTTATTTCTCCTAATAATGGTGAGTGTGTTAGTTTTCTAACTTGTCAGGGTGACTGAGCAGCTGCAGCATCTGCCTCTGGCCAGATCTGTATACTCAGTATGATGCCATATGGTATGGAATACCCCTTTGGCCAGCTTGGGACAACTGTCCCAGCTGTGCAGCCTTCCAGCTTCTTGTGCTCCTCCAGCCTTCTTGCTGGCAGGGCATGAGAAGCTGAGAAGTCCTTGACTTGCTATAAACACTACTTAACAACATCTAGAAACATCATGTAGCGGTATCAACATGACTCTCATATTAAATCCAAAACACAGCACCATACCAGCTACTAGGAAGAAAATTAACTCTATTCCAGCCAAAACCAGGACAGTTACGAAGTTTGCAAATTAGTTATTCACCTCAGCATAGTAAGCATAGTGCTTAATACAACTAATACAGAGCAAAAAAATTAATAAGACACTTCAGAGGAATTAAAGGAAACGTTCAATAGTTGACTAAGTTTTCTAGCTCAAAGCAATGTAATTATCTGGTGATATAAAGAAAGAGAGAATGAAAGAGAAAGTGAATATATAATTGAAGCCAAATTTCTTACACTATTGAAAATACATACAGAAAAATTAGAATCCACACTGCAGTTGATAGCTGTGTAATCATGAAGCTGCAGTCACATTACTCCTTTGAAAACAGCAGCCATCTCCTATTCTCAGTAGAGATTAACCTAATTGTACCTTGCTAAGATCCTTATTTTGAAAATGGCTATTTCCTCATGTAATTTCCAAGTGACAGAAGTCAAGTTGATGCTGAGATGATAATCTCCTCTAATGTTTCAGAAATTGGGATGGACCAAATCATGAGGACAGAGAAAAGAATCTTGCAAGTCCCCACATGAGTAATAACTGCCTTGGAAAAATAAAGACCAAAGAAGTTACTAAAAATGTAAGGTATTACATGCTCTTAATTTTAGAGGAAAAAAAGCAACTTTCACACTTAGAATTATTCAGATCCTTTGCAATGCAGCTAAATATGAATTTCCTACCAGACACATCTGAGTCATGCTCTCTTATATTGCTTATTATTAGTTTAACTAGAATATGTAATTTGAGTTAGGCAGTTATCAACACTAACACTTTTACAAGCAAACACAGCAAGAAAATGGAGAAATTCAGATACATAATTACAATAATAGCAGCAGTAACAATACACAAAGTAGCACTTCATCATTTCAGCGTGAGAATTTTCAACCTGCTGGACATAAGGAGCATCCAGACTCATCTCTGAAACAGTGCATTTAGCAGAAGGTGGATAAAATGGGGACAAAGGAAAGAAAAAAAAAATGGGTAGCATTTAAGTTTGGGACATCTTGGCTCATTTTCCATGCACATGACTCAGCATTACTGTAACTGCTTATTAAAAAAAAAAAAAAATCATGCCTAGGTTTGTTTTAACTTTTCTCTAAACTGGAAAGAGTATTTATGGCAAGCATAATCTAATTGATGGTTATGAAATGATGAGACCATTCAGACAGATGTCTGATTCTCCATGGACATTTTTTCTCTAGGAGAAATAAGAAAGGCCTGCAGCCTTAGCTGTCTTTTCTGAATTTATGGTGGCAGAACTTTCCACCTGGATTAGTGTCATCTAACCTTTTAGCAAAATATCAGTGCCTGTAAGGCTTTCAGTGATAAATTATCTATGTGAAGGGATGATTCCATGTTGACCTACTGATTGTTTTTTCTATTCAGATAATCTGAAATGAGGATTTTCTCCCAAAAGGCAATTATACTTAAGATCATCATCAAAACCATCCACTAAAAATATAACAGTACTAAATATTAGTATGCTTCCTACTCTACAGATTGTGTCTAGAAGTTGTAAAGTCTTCAAAAAAAAGCTAATCTGAAAAGAAACTGACATGACAAATATGTTATTATTGCAGCTGTGATACTTGGGCAGAATCACCAAAGCCATTTTGAATCAGAGTTGCTGAAGAGGAACTCACTAAAATGAAACAGTCTGCATGTAGCAATGGATTTGTCCATTGCAGAAGTATATAAAAACCTGAAATAACACAGCAAATATATTCAACCTTCAGAAAAAAATAACAAAGAAGAAAAGAAGAATAAGAGTTGTCAAACTTGGTCACTGATTCAACATCTGTTTTTAAACAGTACAGAGAAAATTATTTTCCCATAAACAAATGCGATCAACAAATCTACTGCAGAGGATACTGTTATGAACATCCCATGGAAACACCAAGTTCTCAAGCTCAGACTGGTGATCCAATGCACACTGAGGCACTTGCATAGATCAGCTGTACAGCAGTGCATATGCTATTTCCTACCCAATGCAAATACAATAAAATGCATTCATTAACATGGATAATATTTCATTAAAAGATGAAAGGATCAGAGTGCATAATGTTGATGGTTGTGTGCTACTTCCCTTTCCTAGCAGAAAAACATAAGTTACTCTAAGCAAGGAGTAACAAATAAAATGCCTGTCCATTTCTGGTAATGCAAAAAAGACCATCAGCTGCTGTCTAGAAGTAATGTGAATATAAAACATAGGAGATTAGCACAAGCTCTTCCTGCTCTATTTGACTAGTTGCTCTCCATTTCTACTAAGAGATAAAAGAACAAAGGATCTCATAACACAGGATTTCTGCAGGACTACAGGGAAAAAAAAAAGAAAAAAAAGAAACAAAAATCTATTAATTACAGATTTTCATCAGCCCTGGATTAGAGGCCCCATCTTCTTTGAAGCTTCTGGTTCACTGAAAGCAATAAGAACTAGTGCTACAAATAAGAAGAAAGAATGCAAGACTGGGTTAAATAGACAATTACCATTTTCCAAGTAATACTTCTAACTACAGAACAGCTAATGTTCTTTTAATAATTTATCTCTTTGCAGATTGTCTTCCCATAGGCACCCAGCTAAACAGAAGTGGGTAGCTCTCTGCACCTCCCGTGAAAATATCATACTTAAGAACTTGTGCATAGGAATACAAACCTGAAACACAAACCAATGTTTTAATTTTTTAAACTTCTTACCTTCCAAAATATGCATTTCTGAACTTTTTTTCATGTATGAAAATATCTAAAAAGCATTCAAGACTAAGAGAAATAATGCAACCCTGTGAGTTGGTTACACTAAGGAGACTACTTCAACAGCAGGTATTTATATTTGAAAACTTACAATTTCCCATTATGAGATAGTCTGTAATAAATGAATAAACTGCTCAAACTGCACTACACTAAACAGCAAACTGAAGAAGCCAGAAATAATCTGATTTTATGTCTCCAGCAGCTGACACATCCTATGGAATTCATGGTATATATGGAGAGTAAACAGACATACTTTGTATAGCTTTCAGACACATAAGCAAAGGAATACAAGTTCCAATATATTGTTTTGCCTTTGTGTTGGTGTAGCAGGATAAATAAATTGAAACAAATAGGTTTTTCATTTAAATTGATTTACACTGCTGGCTGACTTTCTCCTACACTGAAAGTAAATATAAATGTTATTTATACCCATAAAAATGATACAGCAATGAGTTGAATTACTACAGGCATCAATCTTGTATACTTTCCTGTTTTGAGATTCAGATTACAAAAATAACAAATTCAATTTTTTAAAAATAAATCAAACCATGCCTTCTGAAATGATTGCTATTATTATTGCTTATAAATAGCTATTTATATCTAGCAAAATACAATCAATAGCCACATACCTTCTTTATTAAAAAAGTTTGGAATTTAAGATGTGAATGTTGGAAGTTAGAAAGCACTGAAGAAGGGAAGGGGAAAGGGAAGGGAGGAAGATCAGATGCAATTTTATTAATGGCCTTTAACCTGCAGGCTGAAGGAAGCAAATGAGCAGTGCATAAGGAGAATCTCAAGAAGAAGTGGCCTGTGAATTTAATATTTGACAAATAAATCAGAGACTATCACTGTTATTAATACATTGTATAATTATTCACAATAAGCTTGAGAATGCTGGAATCATATAAATCTTAAAATGGAAAAAAATATTATGCATAAATAATCAGCTACTACTATTCATATTCATTCACCCCTAACTTGATAGAAAGCCAACAAGATCTTCAGTATAACCACTGTATTACCCTTCCTCACAATCTGAACAGTCATTTATATATGACTGTTCAAATATATATGTTATATATATTCAGTGGTCCATCCTAGCATCATTTTCCTTTCTGGACTGAAAAAATCCTTCATTTGAATGTGGTACAGTTTTGCAGAAAATGTACATTTTTGTGTACATGCTTTATGTATTAAAACCATCTGAAAATGTATCTTACCACTGCAGCTGGAACTTGAGGCATTTTTGCAGCTGGGGTTCCTGGACGTGGGTAGAATTGATTAATAAACAAGCTTGGAAACCTATACAGTTCTACAAGTTTCATAGTTTCTTGAAAATCTTCATCTGTCTCTCCTGGAAAACCACAAATGATGTCTGTAGCAATTGTTATTCCAGGCACTCTGTAAAGGAAGTAGAAAGAAACATTTAACTGAGGACATGTAGAAGTCTTGCTCCCTTAAAAGCTAGTGTACATAGACATATAACTTTCAACTTTATCTACAGAAATTGAGATCTACAAGGATCTTGGGGAAAAAAGATTCTAACAGCATTGCTTGGTAATGAGAAATGCACCTGGTGCTCAGCCGAGAGCACAAGTAATAGAAGATACTGCAGCAAATACTGGATTAGGATTGTGACAGAAGAGTGAAAACACCTGAATCAACTCTTCCTTCAATCAAAATTATAGGTAATCAGCACACCTTGTTATTTCTTGAATTCTGATTGCTTAATCCATAAAATGTAAACCTTCTGAGACTCAGTCACTAGAAAATGTCAATTATTTAATGATTTATAAGGCTGCTATTGAAGTAGAACAGGGTACCTGAAAGAAGGGACTGGCATGTCATATCCCCTAGCAAATTTGAACAAAATTGACTTAGGAGCAAAAAATACATCTTTAGTCACAAGTTAATTTTTAACTCAGTATTCTAAAACATCATTCTATGCCTTGCTTTAAAAGGAAAACAAAATACCTAAAGTTCACAAACACACAGGAATGAGTTCTCCTTTTATTTAAGCAAGGTTAACATTTCCTAGCTGTTCCCCTTGGACTGAATATGCAGATCCCTCACGCACACCAGGTTAAGGCAGCACAGCTGACAGAGACAGCCCACAGACACAGAAGGATGCACAGAATAGGGTGAAGTTAGAGAACTTGAGTTGAAATTGTGCCACTGTCACTGTCTTGGATATGGTGGGAACATGCCATGAACACTTTCCCCAGTAGATACTGGAGCAGCTCTCAGGGCCTGCGCCCAGACTGAGCTTTGTGTACAGTGGGAATAATGATAGGCATCCTCTGGAGAGAGACAGAAACACACAGTGCTCAGTGCTCCCTCCTGACACAGATGAGACTGTTTCCACAATACAGAGTTCACCCCACACTGCCAGTAACAAGGATAAACTGCAGAAAATACTGGAGAAAAGTAAGAACTCTACACAAATATTGGTGGTATCTAACTTGGAACTGGCCCTGTTTCAAGTATGGGGAGTAGATGAGATGTCTTCCAGAAGTCCCTTCCAATCTAAATAATACTACAGCTCTTTTGTAGGCCACAGGCAAGGGAACAGCTGAGAGAGATTATTTAAGGGGTGAATAGCATAAAGGCAACTGTCACAAGCAAAGTTCACACTTGAGGTTAAGAAGGGGTCTCCAAGACTGTCTCTAACCTAAAGATATGGATGGAAGGCTTCTCTTCCCCTCATCCAGTTAAGACAATGCAGAACTGTGAATGTTAGTGCATGTAATCCAAATTACATTAATAAAGCATTCAAATAGCCAAAGAAAACTCTAATTTCTTATTAGACACTACATCACCACAGAAAAAAACATAGTGCTGTGGTTATAGTAAGTGAAGAAACTTGATTTTGAATAACTGAAAGAAAAAATTCTTGAAAGAAAATCTTCCTGAAACAATGAGTTATACTGGAAAAGAAAAACCTGTTGGCAAAAGACCCCAGAAAAGGGAGAGAATACTGTTCTTATTAGTTTTATTAGGTGCAATATTAGACCATAGCTTATATCCACCACAGCAGCCTTCAGTCAAATTGTACATGGTAGTAAATGTAGTTTGTGATTTTTTTTCCCTGAAACTTTTTTTTTCCTTCAAGTATTGGGAATGAGCTTATATTAATGTCTAGCTAGCCCTCCTTTTAGCATGTATCTGGACATACAGATAGCAGCATGGGAATTTGTCATATATTATTAGAATTTTCTTTCTTATTTTCCTTATGAAAAATCTCCAAAGAAACCAAATCCTATCATTTCCCTTTTTAATCAGACTCCATCATCTGAGCTGAGGTTAAAAGATGGCATTTGAATGACAAATCAAATCCAGTATAAAACTGAACATTTTCAAGGATTTGATCCAACAACCCTAAGTGGGAAGCACAATCTGGATTTTGTGCAGAAGGGCAGAAATCCCAGAGGTGAGGGCTCAGCACCCTCAGTTACCACTGCTTTCTTAAGATTGACAAACATCAAGATATGAATTTCTGCTTGATATCAAGTAACAATAAAACTCCTTATCTTCAAGGACTGACTGAAGAGAGCAGCACCACATCCTGCAACATGATTTTTTCATACCACAAATATCTTGTGCAGGAGTAGTAAGCTCATGGAAGAAAGAGTACATTACTTTATAAACCAATGCCACCTAACATCAGCTGCCATTTCTCAGAACACGAACAGAACATTCATTACATTTGACAAAACCATTATAATGAAGTTATTTTATCCATTTTAATGACACTATTGGCAACAGTCAAAGCATTTATTACCAATGGTAGTAGTAATACCATCCTTTATAAAGGCCTGGTTGTTTCTATGGCAACATGAATTATAAGGTCCAATCAAGCTAGATACAATAAAATATGCTCTTTTTCTCCATAACACCAGTTGTCATTCAGTTAAAAGGAAATTACATATTTTAAAAATTCATAAACTCTACAAATGTCTGAACTCCATTTGCTGATAAGGTGTTAATTATCTTAGTAATTAGATTTCTTCCTGGATGGAATTATTACACACAAAGAAAAGCCTGGGTACAAAAAGAGAATAAGGACCATGGTGTATTCAGCAACAGCAATTAATTACAGTTCAATCCAGTGTAACTGCCTAAAATATGACATTGCATAGTGCATTTTTATATCACTGCTGATTATATTGTTTAACAAGCAGTTTAGAAAGGAGAGAAAAGCATGAGATTTCACTCAACGTCCAAAAAGACAAAAATCAAGCTCTTAAAGACTTTTCAAAGCAGTGATGAACAAAAATATGTACAATTAGTTCCACATGTGAAACATAATTTATTAATGAAAAAAAGAGGGGGAAAGATATAATTATGGAAAAATATAAAACACATACACACTTGAAAATTAAAGTGACCTTTTTTCTGACAGCTTGAAAGAAAGTAGCACAAAATTTCATTACTTCGATTCAGATGAAGTTTAAGAATTGCTCTATGAAATATGATCAAAATCACATAAAAATAAGTTCTTGTTTATTATTATTATTTTACACCAAATGCCGCTTATCTATTCTGAAGGAAACAAAAAAAAAAACCTGTTGAACATTCCCTGTAACATTTATTACATGAACTCATTTACAGTTAGCCTAACTATTCAGTTTCCACAAACGTTTTTTAGGGTGTAGGAGAGAAGCTTCACAGCATGTTGACTCTCAATTGGGATGTTTTATTGTAAAAATGGAATTTCAGAACAAGATGAATCAGAGGAATAATTAATGCCATGTATAAGATAAAACATCTCTAATACTTATTTTCTCCCCTATGTACCACTACATATATAAATTCCTTCCATCTACTCAAGCAGACTGATGTTTTACTATTCTGAACTAGACCAGCAATGCAAACCCTATCATCCTGGGCAATTCTGACCACCCAAAAAGAAGCAGCAACTTCATCTTACAGTGAAGACACATCTGTTTTAGTGTGATGCTGTAAGGGCCAACACACCCATGAACAAGTGCTGACAGCACAGGTATCCAAACCTCACAGAAAGGAAGAACAAGATGTGTTTGAAAGAATACAGAAGAAAAGCAACATCTTATCCTCTACCTAAAGAGGAAACAAGTCAGCTTCTGGGGTCAGAGACAAGGAAATGATGGATGCCTATAAGTAAAGTCATGGACAAATGACTTAGAAAGAAGATAAAAGGATAAAAGCTGCCAAAAATAAAACACTAAGACCACCCCCACCCCACCCCAGCCCCATTTTCACAGAGCAATATTTCTAAGAAAAGCAGCAGCAAAATTGTGAAAATGTCTACGATTAACTTGTTACATGGACTATTTCATGTGGTTTTAGCTACAGAAAACATTTCCTTGAGCAGTAACCATTGCAAACCAAATCCACATTCAGGGAAGAAATTATGTAAAGGAACTAAAATTATCACCTTCAGCTAGTCACATGACCACTTGAAATTCTTTTGCATGATCACATATTCTTCCCACTTCCGTTTCAGCAATTAACACTTAAATCAGAAATTACTTAAAGCCACCAACTTGCTCTTAAGCAAGACCAGCTACCTCCATCCCTTACAGTCTAACAAAATACTGGATTAGAATAAATAGCAGTAAGTATAAAAAGAAAACACTATATAGTTTTACAGAAAGGTATGAGAACTCCGTCTGTAATCTATAGTAATTAAAGAAAAAAAAAAAAAGTGATGACAGAACAACTTCTTGATTAATAAATAAAAATGTTAGGGAAAAAACCTGAATTTTAATGAAAATAAAACCAGCCTACTCTGAAACGTTATTTCAGCATCATATATTATTTTATATATTAGAATGCTTCTGCAATATAAGCCCATTCAGAGAGCATGAAATTGTGTTAATGGATTAAATAATTTGAAGATATCTGCGTTTGTCTTTCAAGTGTATTTACAGAGCCTACCAGTCATCTCAATGTGCCATTTTGTGTTGGAGCTGAAGGATGTGTTTGCATCTTCCCAGTGACCACACACAGTCTTCCAGAAGCCCTTTTCACCCCTTTTTCCTCTTTTCTCCATGAGGCCTAGTCTTGTGGGATTTCTGACTTCAACTTAAATCGCTAACTGAGGAGTCACATCAACTGGAGCTAGCACAAGAGAAACACACTGCTCAGCTGGAAGCACTACCTAGGAACAACAGGAAATTTCACCCCACTTCCCTCTTGGCTATATGGAGATTAACCTGAGGATTAAGCCATGGAAAATCCCCACACTTTAAGAAAATAATTTAGCCTGTTTCTGTGCTGAAATCCTCCACACTTCTCTCTCTCTCCCTCTCTCTGTACGGACTATGAATGCAGCACAGGACAATATACTCCTAAATTAAATGTCTGGAATTGGGGGATTAAACCTGAACATAATTCCTGAATTTCTCCATCCTTTCCCA